ATCTGGAATTATCCTGTTAATAGGCCAGAGAAGAGCCATCCAGCCTGTGAATCAGTTTCATCCACTTGCAGTTTCATTAGAATTATTTTCTAGTAAAAATGACCAGTAGAGACTTTCTGCTTTCTCAGTTTAAATAAGAGCTGGAAAGGTAATAAATTTTTAAGAGCACAGCAAGTGGGAGTGAGTATGTTATATCCTGTTATGCTGACCATTGCATTTTCAGTGTACAGCTTCAACGAAAACTGTAAGATTTACTGATTTCCTAAGCAATACTGTTGGCTTTGAACACTCTAGGCTGAGCAGATGAAGTGACTTCTTGAATCTCATCTTTTGAAAGGAACTCTTTGCACTTATTGACCTATTTTGTATGCTGGTACAACCTAGCCAGTTAAGCTGCATTAGTTGGCATGCTTGAATGGCCATGCCGTCTTTGCATTGGGCCATCCTTGCTGGCAGGCAGTTACTTTTCCACTAAGAAAACACAGATTCTTGTACTGGCAGAGCTTTTCGCATATGGTTTGCCATGTGCTGTCTAAAAGTGTGCGTGTGTGTGTGTGTGTGTGTGTGTGTGTGTCCTAGGTGACATACAGCCTGTATAGGTTTGAACTCTGAGGTTTTGGAGCATTACCACCATAATCCTTTACATAAATGCAAAACCAGCCTATGTTTTAAGCAGGTTTAGTTTTTCAGTACTTGTGCCTTGCATTGTAAATTCAATGACTCCTAGAACAGGGGTAGACATAAGGGAGATCCAAGTCTACTGGTAGCTCTTTCGGTGATTTGCAATATTTCACAAGGGTTTCTGACTCCCATTGCCTGTATTCACGCAGGACAATAAGCCATGGCAGGAATAGTTTGTTGTTCTATATAAATACAGGCAGCATGGTAAAATTGGGCATGCTTGGTTTCCATGAATCACCACAGAGAACTGACCATTTGCTCTAAGGATCCCATGCTTATGCACTGCTTCCTGTTTTGTGTGAAGCCAGTTTCAGTGTTTTTCCTCAGTTTCCCTGTTCTGACCAGCGAGCTCAGCTCCAAGAGCAGCTGCAGTTGCTCCAGTTGCCATTTTCCACTGCCCTGTTAACCTAGCAACAGTTAGAATTTCCAGAAGACAGGGTCCTGATTGGTTGGCCTCACACTCCCAGTCCCTCCTCCTGGTGCATGCTTCCTCCCAGTATCCAGCTGCAATGTCCACTGCTTGACCAATCACCCATCTCACATATACCAGGATAAGGTTAGGGTTGGAGAAAAGGCATGATGTTGAAGGTTGGAATGTGTTTAGAAGGGGCAGAAATGTTGAGCTGTGCAGAAAAAGCTCCTCAAGGAAGGCTTTTTCAAAATTGCCCTATTTTCAGTGGAACTTTAGCCCTCTATTAGGGTTAGGGGTGTGCACCAGGGTAGGGTTAGGGTTACAAAAATGAGGTGTCCTGGCATGATTTCGATGGTTGGAATGTGTTCAGAATGGGCAGAAATGATGAGCTGTGCAGAAAAAGCTACTCAAGGAAGGCTTTTCAAAATCGCCCCTTTCAGTGGTGTTTGACCCCTATATTAGGGTTAGGGGAGTGCACCAGGGTAGGGTTAGTACAGTGGTGGTGAACCTATGGCACGCGTGCCACTGCAGGCACACAGAGCCCTGTCTATCAGCATGTGAGCCAAGTCGCCCCAGGATCACCCCAGTAGCTGAGCATCGTATAACAGCTCACATAGGGGCCATGCGCATGCTCTGAAGGGAGAAGCGGCACCTGGCAATGTTGTCATGAGCCGCGACTCGTCCTACCTTTTGGATGGCTGGACAGTGCGCTGCCGTGGATGTATACATATATTTGCTTGGACTGGCTCTGAGTTGTTTTTTCTTACCTAAAACCTCATTTTTCAGGTTTTATTGTAGAGTTGCCATTTTGCGATCAATAAGTGGGTTTTGGGTTGCAGTTTGGGGACTCAGTCTCTAAATGTTTGCAATCACTGACCTATAGAAATGCATAGATTATTAATGCATAGTTGTTTGCTAATGTGTGAACACAGGATGTTAGGTAGGAAAAGGAATTGCTCAGTAACCATCTGCATTATTTATGAACTGTCCCAGTTATTTAAACCACAATTTAAACAAAGTTTTTGATTTCTTCTTCTGCTGTTGTAAATTTGTAAATTAGGTGGCTGTAAGGAAAAAGGAAAGCTTTTAAAGGAACTAGGGATGGAATTGCATGTGGGAAAAACCTCAGTACTGGATCTGAAAATAAATTCCTGGGTATTTTTGTGCTTGAATTATGTTAACTTCTACTCCATTCTGCAAATGTGCAGTATTTCATGCATGTAAGTTTCTCTAGTAACAAACAAATACCTTGCGATGCTGAAGGTTTCCCACTCCTGTCCTAGAAAACTTAAAGGAAAACAAGGGAGTTTACAACTTAAGCTTCATTGTACTGGCCCAGAGGTGGGGAGGAGAAACTTAAAAAGTCTTGTTGTATCCTCAAAACATTTGCATTTATAGTGGCATCAGGTTTCATGGGCTGGAGTCCACTTCAGCTGATACAGGCAAGTAGGGAGAAAGGCTTTGTTAAGAAATGAATGATGGTCTAAATCGGGGTAGGTAATAATTTGGCTTGGATCCAGGTAGGCTACTTAAGGTAAAAACAACAGCTTGGATATACCCTCAGGGATGTTTAGGTCCCCCACCCCCTCATGGAATGAATGACTTCCATGTCATGTCACAATATGCTTTTTAAACTTTTCATTTCAACAGCCGCAAGATATGTGCTATTGTTTGACAAATCCAGTTCTAAAGTTCTTGGTTGTACAGGTCAAATCAGACAGTTCTTTGGATCTGGGCCATAAAACATGAAAATATTGCATAAAAACTCTGCAAGTATGCATTATTTTCTGCTGCTTTGTATTGCAGAATTAGGCACAGTACTTTCAATTAAGATTCATCTGTGTTAAATGCAGTTGTATCAGCAGTTGGACTAAGCCATCTCTAGCCAATTTAGTTAGAGATAAGTTGAGATTTAGTCATACTTAGAGTAGGCCCATTGGAATCAGTGGGAGTTACGTTAGTCATAGATTCAACCCTTAAGGTTTGTTTCTTAAATTCTCTGGGCATAAAACTTTTAATGAGACTTGTTGGTGTACTTTATAACCTACCCTTTTAACAATTTTGCATTTGATTTATTTATTCCAGTGGTTTAGGAAGCAGTGGCTTATATTTCAAGCTTTAGAGCCTTTTTGGAAGTGCCAAACCACTCCTACAAAGGAAAGATTAAGTAGTTCAGGAAACTATAAGGTTGGAACGTTTTCACTAGGCCACAATGAATCAACAGAGAAAACAAGTAGAGCCATCAGAAAACTGGGTTATAGACATTGTAAGCCAGTCCTTGCCAAAAGTCAGAGGAAGTGTATTCAGGAATACGCCTAGTGTACATTTGCAGATCACTCAGAGTATCATTAGAAATGATAAAATATCCAGTTCAGCAGGGGTCCATTCAAACTTTGAGTCCGTAACATGCATTCTGTTCATCATATGTTTCTTTCCAAGTTGCAGTGAAGCTTGTCTGAAGTTGTGGTTTAATCCTGGAAAGCTGCCTGACTTCCACCTATCCACCTCTTTATTCCCTCTTTTTTTCTATATTTTGTCTCTTGGAACAAGGGTGGCAGTGACCCACAGCACCTCATTCCTTCAGTGAGCAGGGTTTTTAGTTAAAATGGTTAATGTCCTGTTGCCTGATGAATCTGGTTGCAGCACTTGTCAGATATCAGCCTCTCCCTGTCTGGTGCTCTCCAGATGTTTAAACCACAGCCTCCAAAATGCCTGGCCAGGCTGGATGGAGAAACATCTGGAAGGCACCCCATTTGGGAAGGCTGCTTTGGATAAAACTGTGTATGTGGCACTGTTTGTCCAGAATCAAGATGATGTATCTTCCACTACACATGCTGATTAGCTTACAGTTCCAGAGTAGCTTTATGTGACCATCCTACACAGTAATGTGAATGGACAATGTAATGATTTGATCTACTTACCATGAGCCTGATTCAGGTGCTTGTGATCTAGATAGAAGAATATACCTGTGATCTAAGGAGAAGGTGCATGCTAGCCCCACCTCCACACCATATTAACTGCTTTTCTCCACATGGAGTGTTCCAGTGTTTTGGACCAAGTGGTGAGCCTTCTTGGACAGATAAGGCTTTCCTCTTCAAAAAGTTACCCTACACATGAATGCATCTGGAGTGGGGATGGGAAGAATTAGCATGCTCTCTTCCCTGTATGAAAATCATAGGCACAAGGTTTGGATTTGATTTCCTTCTGCTTTCATTGCTTACAAACCACATATACCTCCACCCATGTAGACATATAACTGCTAACTTAACACTTCATGCATGCCATTCATCTTTAGATTACCTGGGGTTTCTTAGTTCAAAAACAGCCGTTGGTCATAGGATGTGCATTTCCTGTTTCATACAATTCAGTATGTAATTGCAGGGCCAAGAGTTTCACATGCACAAAAGTAAACAAGGTGCATTTAGTGTTGCACAGAGTTTGTGTTCTGTAGAAGCTTAAGTTGTGCTCATGTACACACTTACCTATGAGTAAGTCACATGGAACACAGTGAGGATCACTTCTGAGTAAACATCCTTAAGATTGCCGTGTAGGAGACTGAGCTATGAACCAAGCAGTCCATTAATTTCTCTTCCATGTAATTATTTAAATGTTCCTCCTACATCCCAAAAGTGGCTTGAAGACAACACTGTTCCAACTATTTCTCTGACAACTGTGACTTTTATTTATTCATTCCAGGAATCCATTCTTCTTCCTGTCTTTCCCAACTTTCTGAAGTTTTATTTCCCTGTATTCTTTTGCAGTTCTTTGATTTGTTATTAAAACCTAGTGATGAGGTTAATTTTCCTTCCCTAACTTTGAAGCTCTAGCTTTACCTAATTAACTCTGGGGTATATTACCTTTTCAGCTGTGTCTGACATGATTTTCCAATTCTGTTTCTTTATTACAGGTTTTATATATACTGGAGAAGTTGTGCATCGAATGTTAACAGCTACGCAGTATATTGCACCCTTGATGGCCAACTTCGACCCTAGTGTGTCAAGAAATTCAACTGTCAGATACTTTGATAATGGTAGGTATTAATCATTTTCCAAGATATTCTTTAGCTGTCCTTCCCACCCACTCTCTCTATAGGATAATATACACTGAAGTGTCTTTGTGATATTTAGCTCTCAGAAGTTTGACAAATCGAACTAGCCTGATTTGATTTTATTTGAGTCAAGAACATGGTTATACTTTTCATCAGGCTATAACTGTTCTCCATTTTACTTAAATCTTAACTCTCCATTAGCATTTGTAGTTGTAATATATTCCCCCTCTGGAACCCAAAGTAAATATCCATTAATGAAATTAGAGCAGCTTAATATGCTTTGTGTCATATTTCACATAAAGTATGTCTGAAGTTAATTTACGTTCTAAAGAAGGTGTACAAAGTGGCACTATATAATCTAATAAATTTTACTTCACCTACAGCTCTCAAAGGTCAAATACTTTGTGGGTGATTAAGAGATAAAAAGGAAAAACTGGCACTGTACTCAGAGCTCCTTTATCGCCTGATTCAGGGAAACTTATCTTGGCTGGTTTAGCCAAGTTACATGCAAGCTGATGTTACTCCCCCGCTTCATCCTCACACCACTGTCTTCTTCCTCCCTTCTCTGTGTATACAATAAAAGGCCTCCTTGGTTTGCTGTTATGTTCAAATCAAGGAACTACAGCTATCAGACAGAGAAGAAGGTGCAATCTTAAATCATCTTCCCAAGTTTTGAACTGCAAGATGCTGAGAAGGAAAGAAGGAAGGGGTTGCATGATGATGGAGGATGCAGGCACACAACCTGAGACTGTTTCAGCTTAAGATGTCGTTGCTGGTCTTGTCCAAGGGAAATGAACTGCAGTAGTGATAATCTCATTATTAACAGTGGCCTTCCACAAAAAAGCTGTTGCTGCTAACATAAACAACCTGGCATTTAGTAAGCCATATAATGTGATTTTTTTAAAAAAAAGTTTCATCCTGATTCCATTATCAAGACATATAATTGAACCTCTTGAAGAATTCTATCTCCGTGATCTGTTTGTAATTCAACTATCAGTTCTGTGAATTGTCATTGTTAATAATGTGATTCCCACTGTTAGTACTTTCTGCATTTCATTTTTCTCTGACATATCTGTTTATAATCTTCCACCCAAACATGTGTAACTCACAGTTGATCCACAGTCATTATGAGATCCTTCTTTAAACTACCAAAGACACTTTGTTACTGATTACAATAAGGATCTTGGTTAATTAATTCAGGCCATTTAAAAGCATGATTTTGAAAACAGTTTTGTTTCATTAAAATGTGCACCCACAAAACTGAGTGTATGACATACAAAAAGTGGTGCAAATCTAAATACAGCCCTGCATACCAGCACACGCACAAACACTCACACACACATAGAGTCACACTTTTCAGTGAACATATTAAAGTTACTTTTAGGTAGCTGAAAATTTCATGAGGATGTCTATTGTTTTTCAGGGCTGTATCTTTTCCTCAGAGTACACTAAAGGGGTCACATCTTCACCATATTTTGATTCTGAGACTGCTTTTACCACAATTGTATCTTCCCCAGAACTGTTTAGGATAAATGTTTGCAAATGTGAAGGTTAAAATACATAGGAATCTATGAGGTAACATGGTATTTGGAATGGATGAACTGAAAGTCACAGAGCAGGGCTGTAGAAATTACTGGCTTTTAAGAAATAATTATAATTCCCTGCAACTCCTATAAAAGGAGGGGAAATAAGTACTGTCTATTCTTTCCTATCTGCTGTTGGTTGTCTGATTCCTATTCAATTTGGCTACCCCTCAAACTGAGGTGATCAGACAGCCAGGTAGTAAAAGTTTCTGTCAGAAATCTTGTTCTCTCTTGAGGTAGAAGAAGAATAACCATACATGTATTACAGAGCGTTATATGTCCTGCCTGACTAATTACCAAATCTGTTGCACAATTATGTGGACCTGTATAGATGTAAGTCTAGTGCATGTTAAACAAACAAGCATTTGAGGAACATACTAATTTTTATGTGAAGAAACAGCTTTTAAAATAAAATAAAATAAAAAGCAACCCTGTCAGTATTCAGAAAGCAAATTACAAACATATCTTCCTGTTTCACACCATCCAGTGATGCACAGTACAATGAAATAATTTATGCAGCAAGAACAGAATAATAAGTATGCTTCAACTTCCCCTGCTTCCACCCCCATAAAAATTTATTTCCTGTAATATCCTAGTGAGAAATATAAATTGTGGTATGTTGTTACTGAACTACATCTTGGTGTTTCAAGATTTCCTCAGAGATTTAGTTTAATTATTCCAACCCCACTTGAGACGTCTTTTGGTCACTCAAAAAAAAAAATGGCGGAGATGTGATCCCTTTATTCTAAGGAAAAGGTACATCCCTGAAAAACAACAGACATTTTCATGAAATTTTCAGATGCCTGAAAGAAACTTTAAGATGTTCATGGAAAAGGTTTTTCTTTTTTTGCGTGCAGGACTGTATTTTTATTTACACCACTTTTTGTATGTCATGTCAAGACGGAGGTCCTGTTGGTTGGCGGATTGGGCTTCAGAGAGGGTGGATTTGACCTGGCCCTGAATGGGGTTGCACTCCCTCTTAGGGACAAGGTCCGCAGCTTAGGAGTACTCCTTGACCCGGAGCTTTCATTGGAAGCTCAGTTGACAGCGGTGGTGAGGAGCGCTTTCCTTCAGCTTCGGCTGATTAATCAGCTGCGCCCCTACCTGGATTATGACTGCCTGGCGATGGTGACACACGCGCTGGTGACTTCCCGCCTTGACTTCTGTAACGCGCTTTACGTGGGGCTTCCCTTGAAGACGGTCCAGATACTTCAGTTGGTTCAAAATAGAGCTGCCAGGTTGCTGACAGGGATGCGTTATGTTCACATGACTCCAGTCCTCTGACAGCTTCACTGGCTTCCCATTGAAGTCCGGGCCCAATTCAAGGTGTTGGTTATGACCTATAAAGCCCTAAACGGCTTGGGACCTGGTTACCTGAAGGAGCGCTTACATCCATATATGCCCGCCCACCCCCTGAGATCTGCGGGAGAGGCCCTTCTCCGGGAACCCTCCGTGAAAGAAATTAGGAGGGTAGGTACTCGGAGGAGGGCTTTCTCTGCGGTGGCGCCCAATCTATGGTCCGCCTGGCGCCGTCGTTATGTGTTTTTCGGCGGCAGGTGAAGACCTTTTTATTTAAACGTCATTTTAATTGTTAACAATATTTACTTATTTATCTGGCCAGGGCAACTTCTTTTCTTTTATAACTTTTCTTTTATAACTTCTTTTATTTCGTGTGTGTGTGTGTGTGTGTGTGTGTGTGTATATATATTTTATATTATTGATTTTAATTTTATATTGTTATTTTTGTATTGTATTGTGTTGTAAGCCGCCCCGAGGCTTCGGCAAGAGGCGGCATAGAAATGTTCTAATAATAATAATAATAATAATAATAATAATAATAATCCAGTTTCTTGGGTGCACATTTTAAGATGGTAAGTCTGCACAGCCAGTAATGTGCCCTCATGCAACCTATCCACTGCACCACTCAAGAGCAATGTGAAAAACTTGCTGAAGGATGGTCAGAATGAGGAGGGGGGAACATCAGGCTTGTGACAGGCTATGATACCTAGCTAGTTAGCTACAATAAGCTTGGTAGCTCACAACTTGTGTCGGTCTGTAGTATGGTCCACAGAGAGTGCACAGAAAACCCTTAATAAATAGTGGAAGGACTGTTGTAATTAAAATACTCCACACCATCATTCATCTGATGGTATAAATTCATCACGATTCCATTTGGTTAGGGCACTTAATATTTACCACTAGCACAGCTCATTATTTTGTATCTCTCTCTCTCTCTGAAAGCTTGCAGTACATAGAAGAATTAATGTTGTGCATAATAAATGAGCAGGATGAAAATGGAATACTTTAAAAAAAAATTTTTCTGTGTCAGCATTTCTGTAAACATTCCTAAGTTATATAGCCAGTGGGTCGTGAACTAAATGACACAATGTAATACTGTGATTAATGCAAGCAAGCAGTTAATGGCACATGTTCTGAGTAACAATGCACACCTCATATTAGACAGCGGTTGCATTCATAAGTACCTTTGGATACTGAGCAGCCTTTGCCAGGTTTGGATCCTTGCATGTTGGATCTCAAATCGCACCATCTTCTGTTAGCATGGCCAGTGTTTCAGTATGGTCAGAGTTGTACTCCAAAATACCTCTGAGGGCCCACAGCTGAGACATGCTGATTTAGAAGAAACAACATTAAAGTCTCCTATCATCTGTGTTCTTCTGGTATCATTCATTCAGTAAAGCTGCTGCAGGAAACATGTGATGCATCATTGTTGTGGGTTCTGTGGCTGGAAAAGTTCTTAGACACCAGTTGGAACCTTTTTAGAACTAGTGTAAACTTTATAAGCACTAGTCCTGAGAAAGCAAAATAAATATATCAGATTCTTAGATGCTAACACAATGTTTCTAGGTAGTTGGACATGTACTTTTCCCAGCTGTTGGAAAATAATTTGTCCATGTGCTCTGTGGAGAATGGTGATTGTACACAGTAGCTGGTTGTTACCTGTATTAGCTCTTCAACTCAAATTAAAGTTAACACAATTAGCATCTCTTGTTCTGCAGAAAAGAGTGCTTCTGGAACCCTAGAACAATAATCATTTCAATAATCAAAATATCCCCTATGCATTTATTTATAACATCAGAATTTATGAGCCACTTAACACTGCCTGTGTTTACTATTTTACTTATTCATATAGTTATATCTACTGTATGGCCTATTTTACAAGATTTAGATATTATGTACTTCAAGACAGCCAGGATGGTGGAATAGAGAACTGAACTGAGACTTGGGAGATCGGGGTTCTACTCTCTACTCAACTCTTAAACTTTTTGGATGCCTTTGGGCCAGTCACTGACTCTTACACTAGCTCATGGGACTGTTATAAGAATAAAATGGAAAGAATGTATATTACGTTAACTGTCTTGGGTTCCTTCCAAGAAGAAGTGTCAGGCATAAGTGTAATGAATACTAACAATGATAATAGCTATTGTATTAAATGTTCCAGAAAGGCTACCGTATTTACTCCAATATTTTCTTCTCCACACTTTGGACTTGACAGGTACTGCACTGGTTGTGCAATGGGATCATGTCCATTTACAAGATAATTACAATCTGGGAAGTTTCACATTTCAGGCAACTCTTCTCAATGATGGACGGATCATTTTTGGCTATAAAGAGGTGAGTTTTATCCTACAATTACTTAGTTTTATATCCTACAACACCCAATCAAATAACTTATTTTCACCAAACAGAAGTACTGATATGTTAGAAATGCTAGATTTCCAGTTCTCTGCCATCTTAATACAAAATAGTTTTTCTCTGTCAAGGCTTATTTCATGGGTGTTAGTCTAAGATGGTGATGTACTTTGCCTTTCATAAGACATTGCTGTGGGGCACAGTGAAATAAGAAGTCTGTCTTACGGAGGGGTGGAAAATCTGAAGTCGATGAGCCAAATCTGGCCCTGCTGGAGGACCAACCCAAGTGCCCAGCATTCCCCAGATGACCACATCCTTTTTTCCTGTTCCCACTCTATTTTCCCAACTGCTGGTCATCCACCAATTCTTTGGTTTTTTTCCTGGCTTTGTTCCCCATTCTGAAAGTTCAGAATGCTTCTCCTTAGGCTGAGTTCCTAGCCAGAAAATTGAATTTGGCCCTCCAGCTGAAAGAGGTTCCCCGCCCCTTACATGCATTCTTACCTATGTTGTGCATGAATCCCTTAGGACATCATAGGTCAAAAGCACCAAACTGACTTGCGTCTTATACACCTATGCACCACTTGGACAGTTCCCTTGTATGTGATTTGTGTCCACATGCTCATCAAAGCTGTTACTGATTTGATGATAGAAAACTTAGAGGGAAATTCAGTTGCTGTTAGAGCAGCTGATATATATAAACAGCTGTACACGGAAGGCCTTTTTGTGAAAATAAAACTTCAGAGAAACTATTCATGGATCACAGGAGCTTCTTCTGTGAGCAGGTCATTAGAGAAACTAGAAATCCATTTCCGTGGAAAAAGATGCTGGACCTTTGCTTCTCTGGCATTTCACTGCTCACATAGACAGACTTGTTTTGTGACCCATCATTTCTGCACACGAGTCAGCTCTAATCACATCTCAACCAGTTCTGAGAAAACATTGTGCTTGAAACAGTTTTAGTCACTGCCACATTCATTAAGCACACCTCTTTTATAAAGCTGTAAATATTAACAGGAAAATAAATAATTTTCCTTGTCAATGTATCCGTTGCCTGTCATTAAAAGTTGCTGTAGTCTGCTTATACCTCTTAATGATTTTCTTGTCCATGACATCACCATGAATAATAGGTTACATTCTTAAATGGAAAATTAAAGATAGATCCACCCTTAAAATCACAGAGCATGTGGTCTACTGGGTCTAGTACTTGTGTAGATATTTTATGCATTGCATTATTAGAACTTACAGACTGCCTCTGTCTTATCTCTGAGCCTGGTGTTGCAATCATTGCATCATTTGTTGTTGTAGCACCCACTCTCTAGAACACTTTACTAATTGACATGAACAGATCCCCAAATTCTCACATTCAGACATCCTCTTAAAACTCATCTCCTTGCACAGGTTTTCCCTGAAATGTAAGCCATTCATTCATTCATTCATTCATTCAAAGCTTTTCTAACCCGTCCACCACTAGCATTTCGGGACGGCTTACAATGATCTATGTTTTGTAGTGAACAGAGGAGCATACAGTTTTATTGCTGATTAATTTGTGTCTTTTTAAAACTCAGGTTTAGTGAGCAATTATGTGGCTCCCTGGACAGCATTTAGGGGTCCATATGTTATTATTCAGATTCCCTGATACAAAATTGGAGACAGATGCACACTCTGGTAGCCCTCACCTTCTACTTGCAGCTGGCACAGAAAAAATCATGCTGTATGTGGAAGAAGTACATGGAAGTACTTGGAATGTCATGCTTAGAGAAGGAATAAAGGAACATCCTGTCAGATAGGGAGGGGAGAAGATGGGGGTTCCAGGTTGCAGTTTCCTAATAGTGCCCCAGCCTGCTTCCCTCTGCTTCTGAAGTGCCTCAACTAGATGTCTGAAATCTAGCAGCAAATGCTATAACTGTTATAATAAATCCATGGTGATTACATGACTGAAGGGCTCATTACTGCCTAACGAGCAGGCAGTACCTTGACGTTAAGAGACTTTGGGAAAAATGCACCAAATATTGTATAGATTTTGCACTAACCATTTATTAATTATGTGTCAAAGAGAACACAGAAAGAGTTCCACTGCTGAATATTAGCACTAGTTTGAAATCTTTGGTTTGTTTCTACAAAAGTTAAAAGGTTATTTTCTTCAACAGAGAACAAATCTCTTAAAGACAGTCCTACTCATATAAATTTACCATAGAGTCTGATGTCCCATTTTGCCTCTGTTAGCCCAAATGGGTTATTACTTCTCTGTGTACAAACATTAGCAGAATTTCCATGAAATAATCAAAAATAGAAACTGAATTTATTCCCTGTTATGGTGTACTTTCTGTGTGGTTTTACATGCAGAATTGCATTAGGTGCTAGCAAAGCAGCATTAAAAGGAAAGCTGTTTACACAATAAACACACTAAACTGTTTGAAGAAAATATTCATTGTATTTCAAGAGGCTGCCTGTTTCTTTCCTGCAGTGAATCGACAATGAGGCCTATGGTTACTTTATGTAAAGTAAATTTACTTTTCCATGTTGATTACTGAAAGGTAAGCTAGAAAATGTAATTGCTGAGGGATTGATTAACAGGTCTGTCAAACCTTAAGTATGAGACCAAAACTAAACATCCCAACACATTTAAATGATGTTTTCATCATCCCCGGGCCAGCTGTTCCTTTCCCTGGAAGGCAGGGTAGGAGGAAAGACTCATTAGTGCTCTATGGAGAATAGAGAAAGCAACAGAATGAAGCCAATGATGCCTGACAAAAACATATCCCACTAGCAAGTACGAGAAGCCACCAGGTTCCATTGGCCATGCAATATGTAGGCAAGAGCTCAGTGCTCAGAAAAACAGACTCTCTATTGATGAATGTTCTATGAGCCCCATATGACTTGGATTGTGGCCCATATTTGGTTGAAAAGGCCAGACAAATGCATTATTACTGCTATCATAGTTGAACTTGTGTTGCTAAACATTATTTGGTGGCACTGGGCCTCACCTCTGTTTGAAAATTGCTACCTGTACCTGTACACTGAGCTAATAACTGCACCACTGAGAACAGTTGGGAATGTGTTCTGATGACAGAGAAGGGTGCATCTACATGTGCAAGGAGGCAGAGCAACCTCCACTAGCTGTGCCCCCTCTGGACCGGGACCTGTACTCACAAGAAAGAAGACGAGAAGGTGGACCAAGTCAGGGAGAAGGAGCCCTGCTGAGATTACTTTTTGAAATGCCCCCCATAACCTGGAGCTGGCACTGTTGATGAAGTTTACATGCACTGGATTGCACTGTTGGGACACTGTTTGATCCCATGCTATCATTTGAGTCCAAGCTATCATTGCCACTACTTTCTCCTAAAGGAGTAGAAGGCCAGAGAGACTGTTGGAATATATAAATGATATACTCTTCTCTCTTTTTTGTCTTGCAGATTCCTGTCTCAGTGACACAGATAAGTTCAACCAACCACCCTGTGAAAGTGGGTCTGTCTGATGCATTTGTGGTCATCCACAGGATCCAGCAAATTCCCAGTATGTAGTTGATGCATCCTAATGAATGTCATGTGAGCCAGTGCCTTTGAGGAGGGTTAGGTATAAGGAAAACACAAATTCAAAAAGATGTTTTAACTAAACAAACCAGAAAAGTACTTAAGTAATTTTGGTTTGCTTATTTAAAAGTGATTTTGCTTGGCTTACAGCTGCCACTGTGAATATCTGCAGTACTGTTGGTCTGGAACTGATAAGCAAAAGTCAACAGTTGATTCAAAAAGAAGTCAGCATAGTTCTGTGTTTCTCAGGATACTCTGTTATATTTTCCGTATTAGATATTGTGCAATTGCTGTTTCACTGTCTTGGAATTTCATGCAGACAATTCCTTCATTGTCTTCCCTACAACAAAGGGAGATAAAGGAGATGCTGAAATTACCTATAACAAACTGCTCATGTATTCATCATAGTTAAGTACTGCAGATTTTCTTTGCCCTAACACTCCTTTATTTACAACACATAGCAAATATTTCCATTGCATTCTCCTTGTGCTAATAATACTGGATTGCATAATATTTGTTGCTTTTTTTTTACAACCCGCCCAAAGAAGGTTTGTTATGGGCAGAAAAGGGAGGAAAGAAGGTTGGGTAGCCAGAAATCCAGCAACTCCATGTTCTTCAAAACTAATCATCTCCCTTGTGTGCGGATTTTGGACAGATTGATTACATTTATATTCCACCTTTTTCCATTTCAACCCAAGGCAGCTTACATAATTCTTTTCCTCTCAATCTTATCCTCACAACCTATGTGAGGTAGGTTGAACTCAGAGTCTGTGACTGGCCCAAAGTCACCCAGTTAGCTCAATGGCTGAGTGGGGAATAGAACTTGGAACTCCTGAGTCACAGTCCCACAGAGTCCCCCTACACCACAGTAGCTCTCAAAATTCTCTTTTATAAAGGGCAAGGTTCCCTTTGTTGCTGTAAAGTCATCGGGCATGTGGGATTCAAGAACAATGCATTCATGGCCATATTTTACAAAGCAAAGTCCAGTAACTTTCTCACCAACCAAACCAAGTCAGCCTCCAGAGAATCAATGTCACCTGTTTTGTTTAAGTGTAGATTTTCCTTAAGTCCATCATACAGCAGAGTTACCTGCATTCTTCCCTTTTCAAAGATGTCAAATGAACCCTAAACAAACCCAGTCCAATTATTACAAAACAAAGATGTAGGGGAAAGTATCTTTTCTTTTTGTGCTTTTTTGTAGGATGAAAAGGGAATGTCAGTTACTACTTGTTTCTTGCAGGGTATTAAAGGTAGAAATGTTTTGCTACTTGCCTCCCCTACATGTGAAAAGCATAGTGGGTTGGATCCAGGGCTGTGCAACTCACAGAATGACGGGCTGCTCATTCATACACGGCTTTCCTGCCCCCTCCTCTAGACTGCCGCTCCCTGTGCTTCCACCTGACAATGCTTGTCTAGTTTCTGGACCACCTCCAGAATAATGTTCAGTGTGTTACAAAGGCCCACAGGGAGAGGAACGAATCGAAATCAGGTGGGGTACCTTAACAAGCTCATGGAAGGTGACCCCTACAATTTCTGCCAGTTCCCTCTCCAGTGCATCCATCCATAACACATCATATGCCAGCAGTTTTTTAGGGAGCCTTATGTGGTCTGTAGTCAGAAGGAAAGAACAGGGAATCCCAAAGCATAATGAAATTCTGGACAGTTATGAAATGAATTATTGGCTTGATGCCAAAATATGTAGCAGCACAGCATTGCAAACTTGTTACACATATGTTATATATTTATATAGATCAGTATACACACACACACACACGTGAAAGTGTTTCCAACTGGTAAGTCCTCACAATCTACCAGATAACTAGTTTGATTCAGCGTTGGGCCACTATATCAGGAGAATACCTGAACTAGTACCATATTCCTTCAACCTCTGCATCACAGGAAAGTTCTGTGTAAGCAGCCTGAAAATGTAGTGATAGGATAGCATAAAAACCAATGGAATTAAATGAATCTAAGCCACCTGGGTTCAATAATTTGAAGCTGTGTTGTTTGCTAAAAAGTATTAGCTATACTGACTGCAGTTGTCGTCAGCATCATCATCAGTGAAAGCAGCTGCTTTGTCCTAAGCCCCCCTTCAAGTGTTCCACTTCATACAAACCAAAAAGCCCTTCTCAAACACTGATACCTATATTCCAAGGAGCTAAATAATATTTCACTTCTTTCCATTCTGTTCATCTCATGTGCTTTTTTCTTCCTTATCCGGGAGGTGGTAGTATTTCACCCATTTTTTTAGAAATTGGAATACTTTTTTTTTTTTGGTTATAACAAGAACTGACAATGGAACTAGAAGAAAAGAAAATACTTGAAGTACAGCTATGGGCTAGATAAAAGTCCATTTGTCCTCTGGTGGTTCCTCACATATCACAATGAGGCAGCTGCAGTGACAAAGAGAGCTAGTTGTGGATAGTGTCTAGCCAGACAGGATGGAATTTTACTGCAACCACTACCACTGCTGGTGACTAATATAAATCAGGACCATGCATCTACACATTAGATTGCGTTGAATGAAGGAGGTGGGGATTCTACCACTTCTCTTGTCTTTAATCATGCAGCTGGTGCAAACAAAGGTTCAGTGAATCCATGCAATGGAGTAATTAATCTGCATTAAGTGATCTTCAGTATACACAGTATAAATATTGATCTAGCCTACAAGATGTCCTAGATGACTAAACATTGAGGTACCGCCTCAGTTGTAAAAAAGAATCAATTCAAATTATTGTTTTAAAAACAAATCATTCACTCATACAGCTGTCCTCTTAAAATTGAGATAAATGGGAATATAACAAACCTTGAGTTCTTTTAAGTAATTATAACTCACAGAAATCAATGGCTTCGGATTTAGTGCACTTATTTGTTTCTCTTACAAAAGTCACAATAAGACATCTATTGTTGAGAATCACACAAAGTCTTTCACTCTATATGATATCCATATAACGGAGGTAGGCTACAATCTAGTCCCTGGGGTCTAAGTACAAAGACCTGAGTCTTCCCTCACTCAGTTTTTGATAATTTCCCACTCCCGCTGATGTCATCTACAAAACATCCCTTCTACTGATCACTGACCCAAGGAAAAGACATGTATGTGGAGATGGGCTCCTCCCCTGCCACAGCAAGTTGTGAGATCCCTGAGCTTCTCTTGAGCTAACAGATATCATTCTTTTCTGCCTCAGTGTTAGAGTGCATGCTTTGCATTGTAATGGTCCCATGTTCACTTCCTGGCATCTCCAGGTATGGCTGGAAAAATGTCTTCCTGAAACCCCGGAGAGCCACTGCTGCCAGTCAGCATTAACAATACTGGGCTAGAGGACTAGTGGTCTGACTTACCACAAGGGAGCCCCCTATGTTCCTATGGCATGGGTCACGTGTTTTTCCTTTTTTGATTGTACAAGAAAGCAGCTTTCACTCTGATGCTTCTGGTAATTTGTTGGAAAGATTTGGTTTAAAATACTAGAAGATGGTTGAACTCAGGTGCCACAGCATCTCTGGACAACCGCAAGTGCTTCCGTAAGCCACCAGTTAACTCAGTAGCTAACATTTGTAACTCTTTAGTCACAGAGCTATTACAGCTTCCTAAAATCCCTTTCTCATGCTATTTCTGATGAGCACATTAGGAATTCAGTGGCTTATGCCAAAGCAACGTGCCCTGTGTTAACCTTTGCTAATGAATGAACACTGAGAGGTCTAGCAGAAGTGCCAATGCCATCATTTTTATTTATGCAATCATTTGCTTGCTTTTTGGACCAAAGGACCTGACTTCTTTTGGGGAAACAAATTAAAGCCTCCAGCACTGGCAGGAGTTCCTTTCAGACATATTCTTGAATGCTTTTGATTTGGCAGGTGCATCATATCGACAAGTCACTGTGGGAGAATAAATTATTCCTGCCCTGCTTGGCAAGAAAGGTGGCCAACTCCAGCCCAAATTAGCTTAGCCCCTGCACATACATTTCATTCCTGTGCACTTGGAGCCCGAGACAGGTATCTGTTCTTCCAGGGTAGATATCTCAGCCAGAATCTTTCTGGTAATTCATTCTGACTGGCTTGGTGGCAGTAATTTATTCACTTAATAGGATGTTAACGTTCACAGCGGAGAGAGAGCGAAAGCACTTTCATCAGCGGGCTTTAAAAGAATTGGCCCTAAACTAAATAGCAAAGTTGAGCTAATTGGCAATGACAGAGCTCAACCATGATAAGAAGTTAAGTAGAATAATTTGTGGGTTCATCTCTGTGCCACATCCTACCAATATGTGTCTATGAAATGAGATAAGCACAGAAGCGCTTTCCATTGAGCCCTGGGTGCAGTGAGCTCTGCCAGTATAGAGCAGAAATCACGGCTGCTATTTACAAGCTGTACTTCGTTTGCTGAACACATAACTACATCTTGCTTGCTCCTAAACAAGGAGCGATATTTGTTGTCTTAGAGGCTAATCATAGAGGCTAATCCCTGCACCCCCAAAAGGATATTATAGAGTGGAAAAGATTCAGAAAAGAGCAACTAAAATGATAAAGGGCTGGAGCAACTGCCCTCTGAAGAAGGGTTACAACATCTGGGATTGTGGAGCTGGGGGGATGGCGGGAGTAAGTGCAGACACATCAGAAAAGTATACCAAATTATGCGTGATTTAGAGGCAGTTGGTAAGCAGAATTTTTCTCCCTTTTTTACAATACTAAGACCTGTGAGGCTAGCCCATGCCAATGAATGCACAGATTTAGAAAGCACCTTTTCACATAGCACTACAAGTTAATGACCACCAATTTGGGTGACTTTAAAGGGGAATTGGACAAATTCATGAAGGAGAATGCTCTTAGTGGCTACTAATATCACATCAACAGTCTCCAATATCTCTAATATAATATCTCCATGAGCATACCAGTTCCTAGGGAGTGTGAGGGTGCTGTTGCACTTGGGTGCAGTTTATGGATCTTCCTTAGCAGGATATGGACAGCTATTTGGTCTGATTCATCATGACTCTTACTATGTCCTTATTTGTTTCATTTTTCTTCCTCCCTCGCTCCCTCTAAGGAGCTCAGTGTATGAGGATTCTTTACCTTCCCAATTTAACCCCACAACAAACCTATGAAGTTGTTTAGGAAGAAAGAGGGGAGAGAAGGAACTCTAGGTCACCCTACAAGCTTCATAGCTAAATAGGGATTTGAAGCTGGGTCTCCTCAGCCCTAGTCTCACAGTATAACCACTACACCAGCCTTGCTCTCCTATTTCTTTTCCACTTAGACCAACAGGAGGTTGCGAGGATCATTTCCATATGTGTACTCAAGCCAGCTGATCTTTCTTTAGAGTAATTTTTGGTAGCACTCTTTCAGGGAGCATTCCAAAAAGTTGTGTGTGGTGCAGGATGGCCTTTTGCTACACATCTGAGACCTCTGTCTAGGTCTTGGCAGTGCTCTTGCCAAGAGAAGGGGCAGAGTGGAGCTTGGGTTTTATATACAGCTGTAGTTTGCCTTTCTTGAAGTGGCTGATGAGCCACCCTGTCTTCTTGACAAGAGCAGGACAGGATTGGATGGGATTCCAGAAATCTATTCCTGTGATTTTGCTCTCCTCAGGTAGCTGCCAGGGCTGTGGGGTTGACAGTTCAGATTCTGATGATGAGATAAATGCCTGGGAGGCTACCTATCCTGGCAGGACTAACTACTCAGGCTCTGCTGGCAAGATGGCTGTTGAAACAGTCCCAAGCCCAGCTGCAGCTCAAGGTCCTAAGATTCCACAGAGAGAGATTAGCCCAAGGGCAGATGAGAGAACCGGTCAACTTGACTGTGCAGCTGACTGCAGAACTCAAGAGCTGCAGCATCTTGAGGGAGGAGATTTAGAAATGCGTAGCATTTTGGATCGACCTGATATACATCACCATCACAGGATGACCCAATGGGGGATACAGCAGGAATGGCAAAGACATGCCCAGTTTCATAGCACTCGTTCCCGCAGAAACAGACACAAAAGGGTTCATAAAGAAAGTCTGGGGTGAAGAATGTCAGAGGGCCGAGCCTTTCACTTTGTGTATGCTCAGAGACCTGTGTGTAATAATAAAGACTTCTGGCAAAGAAATGCAGGTGAGACTAATAATGCTGCAAGGGAGAAGAGTGGCTCACAACAGCTTTGCTGTTAATACTCTGTTTTGAAGGAATGGGTTGCTGTCTGTTTTGTACTGATTTAAGTTAGGGGCTCATACAAACAGAATTCAATGAAAATATAGGCTCACGGTGCATGCTATGACCTTTCTCCTCCTCTAAAATGTTTCATTGGGTTATTTTAATCTCCTTTTAGACAAATGTTTTGCATTACAAAGAAGGTGTCAAACAGGTTCTGCTGTTAATATTTTTATCCTCTTTCTTCTTTATTGATTTTGAAAGAATGTTTATCCTACTTTCTATCAACAGTTATCAAAGTGCTTTACACATTACAGTAAAGCAATACACAGCCATGTATTAGAACATCTTTTCCCAACCTCATGCCCTCTAGAGGGTTCAGGTTACAACTCCCAGCATTTCTAGCCATTGACCATGTTGTCTGGGGCTAATGGGAGTTGAAGTCCAGAACATCAAGATCTACCAGAATACGGAAGCCTGCTGTAAAACAGTGAGATAAAAGAAGTGTGTGCAAACACTATATCAAAAGCATCATTGACTCAGCAACAAAGCGCCTGTTAGAATAATTGAGCCTTGACTACAGTGCAGAATTCAGTTAATAGTGTAGCTAGGTGGATCTGCACTAAAATATTGTTTAGATCCGGTCACTACTACTGAAGATTTGGTATTGCATTTGTAGGAAAATGCGTGCAATTTCCAGTGCAGATTTTCCATGTAAGTCTTAACATTTGAAAGCACCCTTAATAGTTGGAACAGTTGTGTCCTCAGGTAAGAGCTGTTAATATTTCTCAGGTGAATAACTTTAAGAGTTCATGTATGTCTTAACTTACTATGGTAGAGATCATACTGTAATGCAAACAGGAGGATGATCATATGGGAATTCCACTTTGATCTATGGACTTGGACTTTTGTGTTTCTTTCTTGGTAGATGTCCGTAGAAGAACAATATATGAGTATCACAGAGTGGAACTTCAGATGTCAAAGGTCACCAATCTGTCAGCTGTAGAGATGATTCCTCTACCCAGTAAGTAATAAGTGCAACAAGTGCCTGAAATACATTTTTGAAGACAGCCTGGTGTTTAAAAATACTTTATAGATGTCTCCTCTTTTTAGCACATCATCTTCTTCATGGTCTGTGTGTATCACACACACAGCCTCTACACCTGTGTGGAAACCTTCAGTCAGGAACATTCTAAAGCTGCAGAAATTCTGGCAGTAATCCTTCCCCCATCCCATGCAGGAGGTTCCTACTTATTCCCTCAGTTTTCTTTTGACTACCATAGCAACAGCATCTTGGAGAACTCTCTCTGTTAGGTCACTATTTTCTGAGGGAAATAAGAACTTGCTGAGACAAATTTGTTTGCTTCCACCCCCTCTCTTTCTCTAGAGAGGAGGTAATTGCCATCAGATAGACTGCAATCACAGTCAGCCCCAGTCATCATAACCACTGGCCAGAGATGATGAAATTTGCAGTCCAAAACATCTCAAGAATATCATGTTGAAGAACATCGCTGTATGCCAGCTTTATAGATGGATCACTTCCCTTTTTTACTTTTTTCCTGTGTTGATATGGTGTGATTTTTAGTTAGTAGATAAGTAAAGTGTTGACTTACATTAGGTTCAAATTCCCACTTAACTATGAAGGTCACTGGGTGATCTTGGGTCACCTTTCCCCACGTCAGAAGGTTGTTGTGAGAAGAGACAGCCATATTATTTACTTACTGTTCTTTGCAGAAAGGGCATAATACGAATTGGATAAATAATAGTTGTGTAATTCCAGCTACTTCAGAATCTCATTGTCTTGGCCATACCTTCCAGTATATTGAGTCAAAGGAAGGGGCTATTACTATTATTATTTTCATTTATGTACTTCCCCACAGACAATGCTATCTGAGCAGGTTATAACAGTCCATAAAACAGATATTAAAATACAACAAAATATGTAAAATCAGAAATGCATGAACAGTTTAAAACAGAACCAACAGATAACAAAGAAAGAGTGCTTGGGCCCCCAACACAAACTCTTGTGACATACCTTTGAGCCTCTTCTGTGGTTGGATGGCCCTGGAACCTCCTGAGGTTCTACCAACTGCTCTGGACTCTGCTTCACTTAGCCTCCATTCTGTGAGCTGCCATGCTTCTGTCAGAGAGCACAAAAGGGTGCAGGGCCCTTTATGCTGGAGTGTGCTTTCTTTGTTCATCATGAAAGGGAGATAAGAAAGTCTTGGTTCAGATCTCACACCTTGCAGTAATATGTAAGGCAGCCTTTTACAACTGCCTCAAGGTACATTGGACTGCAGCGCCCATAATTTCCAACCAGCACGATCATTGATTCTATCAATTAATAGGACATGTTTTTTTCTAACATGGAGCCATTGACAGTCTATGTCTGATATTTTCTTCCAGTGTCAAGTCTCTTGTAACTTCCAACTCCCAGATACCACTTACCAGGTTCTCACAGGATGATGGTCACTGCTACTTTCTGTCTTGATGTTTGTGTTCCTAGACATGTCTTAGTGACTTCAGTTCATCTCACAAAGAGAGTGGGTGGTAGCACCAAGCCTCTGCAGGCAGTTGGCATTAACTCCTAGGAGTAGGTCCACCTACCTACAGACACCTCCCTCTTCCATGTTTGATTTTTAACATAGTAGTGGATGACTCTGACATCTGCCCTATTAAGTTTCCCACAATTACTTGGAACAATGTTGTGTCAAGGAATGGTGGAAAATGCAAATGCCAAGGTGTTTACAAATACTCGCCACGGATCACAGCAGTAAAATGTATGAATGCATGAAAAAGAAAATTAAATAAACCAATTTATTATTAATCAGCATGTGTATTGGGAGGGATGAAGGCACATAGCTGTTTGAGTGCATAATCTTTTAGGGAAATGAAAATTGTCATGGACTAGAAGGCAGGAAAACACATGAATGAGCTGAAGGTGTTTCTTATGCACAAATTAGACATCAAGGGTCACAACAAGAACAGAGGAAAATCTGAAGAGCTTTAGAACAGGGTCACTGGTGCACTCATGGATTAACTGGATTATCTTTCAGTCTCTGAAGAAAAGCCAGTACATACCATGGTCTGGCAATTGTATATTGGCACAATACTGACCAGTCATAGGTGTTTAATGAATATTGTCCTTTAAAGATGCCTCATGGAATGGGAGGCTTACTTTCCTTGGTTGGTGTCCAAAATCAATAGCAACAGAAACTTACTCTGTATCTCACCCACCTCTTTATTTTGTCCAAGGTAATGTACATACATTTTTTTAAGGCTGAGAATGCAAATTGCTAGACAAACTCTCATAAGCAACTGGAGTCAGCTACCATCCTTGTCTTAATCCAATTATAGCTTTTACACAGATTCCTATCCCCAGTTTATTATGTCCATATGACAAAAACATTAGCTATACATTGTGAATTCTAAGAACCAAAAGGAAATAGACATAAAGTAACACTTGAGTGCTTTTATGGCAAAGGCAAATGTAGGAATTTTACAAGAAATGAAGATCTGCAAAAATTACATTACATTTACAAATGGGATTAAAATTGAATCCAGAAGGTCAATCTTAATATGTGTATATATTCCATGCAGTTTGCAAGTAGCCCATTGTTAGGCTAGATAAATGTAACCCACTAATTCTCCAATTATTTTGAGGAGCATGAATTCTTGGAGTACTGAGAAATGATTGATTGTAGGAAGTGTTTTAAAGATGGACCATTTATTTGTATGTGGGTTTTCTTTTTTGCAGCCTGCCTCCAATTTAACAGCTGTGGGCCTTGTGTTATGTCCCAGATTGGCTTCAACTGCAGCTGGTGCAATAAGCTCCAAAGGTAAGGAAGCAGCTTAAATGTTGATTAATGGGATTAATCCATTGGCTAATATAATGCATAGGAGTCATTTAAATTGTGCTGATGTATTTCCTGGTGACAACCAAAATGATGCTTTTGATCTGTTTATCTATAATATGTAAAGTAGTAAGGTTTCTTTCTAAGAGTTACAGGAGTACATAATTATTAAACTGACTTCAACTGAATGTTCAGAAAGAAAGACTAATCATCATACTTGGGAGTGCCCTAGAACTAAAACATTTTAAAGGAAGTTATTAAATAGTATTTTAAATAGTATTAAAATATGGATGGTTCAGTTAGGGGAGGGGCCAACAATTGTTTTGCGACAATAATAATCAAGAGTGTAGGAGAAAGAGACTTATACTGCAAGCTTGGAAAGTTGAATGCCAACCACCTATTGCTCAGCAGTCTGGGGTTCCCTTACGTGTAATTTTCTTTGGTCATTTTGAACTCATAGTTCTCAGTGCCCTGCACTTTTTCAGCTATTCCCAGCTATTCCAAAAAGGGTAACCCCCATCCCTTTTCATGACTCCTTTTGTAGCATTAACTACTGCAGTTATTTATTCAATTTCTATACTGCCCAGTAGTCAAAACTCTCTGGACAGACTGTAAACAAAAGGGGAAGTGAAGCTCTTAGTCCTCCAGTGATCTAATAAGGATCCTGGAGGGAATATTGACAAGGAAAAGAGTGAGTTGCCTTCGTGTCAAAAGGTTCTGTATGCATATGACATTCCGATGGCCTCCCCTTGGCATAGACAGTCAATTAAGTACGTTTTTTCCTTCCAGAATTCGCAAATTCATTTTGTCAGGAACATTCAGGAACATTTGACAAGACATTATGCTTAATTAAAGACCCTTCATAGTACAGGATTATGACATACAGACTAAAACAGAGCTGCATGTAATAAAGAGCATGAGAAAGGTGCCGTGTGTTGGATTCCCCCACTGCTGATATGCTTTGAGTAGGGCGCTGTACATGCCAGGACTTTGCGAGGCACTGCATCCATCTTAGTTCATGTTGCAATAGAGCTCTTCTTTCAGTGAACTCAGGCAGATACTTTCAATCCTTCTGGTTCATTTTCCAGGATATCTACCCTTCCCTTTGCCCAAGATGGGTATGGGTGTCATTCGGGAATCTATGAGGGCTTGTGGGAAGAACTGTGTTTCCCTCAAGATAGGTTGAGGAAGAGACAGTTGCTTGGAGCCAGAGTTTCTGTAAGCAGAACCACAGGAGAGAGAAGAGGAGATATTTATTGATTCTTCCTGCAGTACCCTGTGCCTCCTAAAATTTACTCAAGAGAGTTGGAAGACACTCCAGACCAGCATGGGAGGTGGTATGGAGACTGCAGGGGACAATCAGTGAAAGTTGCCTTTCCCCCACCTTTTCTGCAGTGGGGAGCCTCCACTGAATTGCAAGTTTGAATCCTCTCTTAAGTTTTGTGGATGTCAGCTGTGGATCCAGCCCAATGACTTGCATGTCACTATGTCAGTAAGACTTCATGCTCTTTCATACTTGCATAAGGTGAGGAGGCATCTTCCTTTTGAACATTTTGGTCTTTTGTTTCCCTTCCCTCATGGGGGATACAAGATGACTGACTTGAAAGCATAGTAACTTGCTCGTGCAAAGGAAGCCTTTATCCTTGGTTTTCTCTTTCCTTTCTTCTTCTACATATTTTGAATCCCAGACTCTTCTTTCTCCCATAATATCTAATCAGGGTGAAAACAGATCTCAAACAACCTCACAGCATTCAGAGAAGAATGGGTCTTTAGGCACAAGTACCCCTTTATCTGGGCTTGAGTTTTGCTTTTCCATATCAGTAACCCTAAAGTTAAACTGTACTGTGTAGAGCAGTGGTTCCCAACCTGTTTTATGTCACACATCCCTTCCTCTCCTCTGCACACACAAACACATGCACAAACATTTATAAATGCACAATCCAACATGCTGCTTCTTTGATTGGGTGATTAGCATTTTGCATTTGATCTGAAAAGTAACCACTGGGAATTCCACAGAATTCTGTGGCCATTAGTACTTAAATTGGTGTCTGTCTTTGTTCCATTTGAGGGCAACTAGTAGCATACACAAATAGTTCACAAAGTCTACCAAATTATTGTCTGTGTTTTCAATGCATGCTGAGTGTTTTAAAATTGAAATTATCACCTTTGGTAAAGTGCTTCATTGTCCCATTGCTTGTGATAGAGGAAAGTGCACCAGGGTGGGCTGACTGAGTAGTCTAGTCACAAATTACTGTGGTAAGGACTAAACTGTCTCTAAATTGATGAATGCTGTTCTGTTGCATTTTATTCTTCATTCACAATATTACTGCTTTTATGAACTACAATTTCAGTAAAATAATATGGTCTTAGATTGAAGGGGGGGCTCCTATTGTGGAAAAATTATACCTTTTACAGCAAAATAGAATGTGTATCTAGAAACCAAGGAACAATTCCAGCATCACATATTAGTGCCTAGCCCCAGTTTAACCGATGGGGTGTCTGCTTACAATTTGTGATGTTTCCTTGCTTTAAGAAGAAATTGCATATCTGCCCAATCAAGTGAAGACCTGGACCTGATTCATGCTGTGAATAAAGCGAGCAAGTTATCACAGCTAAATAAGATGAGATGGCAATACAGCAACATACAAATGTAGAAGCTTAACGAATTGTAATGCATGGTTATCTGTTCTGGCATGGCAGCTCTTCATTTCAGTACATTTCATTTATTTCATTTCTGTGATATCCAATACCTGAAGCTCTCTGGACAGTTTAGGAAGATTGAAACCTTAAAATACTTGCTACGTAGTTGAAAGTATCTGCATACAAACATATAAACAAGCAGCGCCAGTGCAGATACACATCTATCAAAACAATCTTAAACAATCAACAATAAGGAACATCCAAGGCCTGTTGTATGCTGCTAAGTCCTTCCGAGAAGAAGAGGGTCTTAACCTGGCAGAAAAAATGGTAACAGTGTTGGAACCAGTGTGGTGTAGTGAGGCACACAGAGAGCCAGTGTGAAGTAGTGGTTAAGAGCATGGGACTGGGACTCAGATGATCTGGGTTCTAGTCCCCACTCAGCCATGGAGCCAACTGGGTGACTTTGGGCCAATCACAGTCTCTCAGCCCAACCTACCTCACAGGGTTGTTGTTGTGGGGATAAGATGGAGGAGGAAAATGATGTAAGCTGCCTTGAGGCCTTTGTAGGAAAAAGGCAGGATATAAATCAAAAATAGAAAAAACAAAAAACCAAGCAGGCCTCATTACAGAGATCATTCCTTAATTGATCATTCCATAATTTCAAGAAGGTTCTATCTCTTTTTGTCACCTACAGAGTTTTTGTTGGACAAGGCACTTAGACGGTAGCCTCAGATAAATATAACGTTCATTTTACCTGGGCAGAAACAACTGAAGCCATGTTATCCCTGTCCAGATAAGGACAATGGTGAGCCACCAGCCAGAGTCAATAGGAGGCACTCGATGCCGCTTGAATTTTAAATAGCAAAGATGGCTCCAGAAGAACCTCCAAAGTGTGGACCTGCTCCTTCAGGGGAATCCAATCCACAACAGGCAGAGCACCCTCCATCAGGTTAGAAAAACCTCTCTATTAGTATCACAATCTAATCTGGATTGTGTTTCAGTTCATTTGCCTTCATCCAATCCATTGTTGCAGCCCGGCATTACTTTAACACAATAGGAGAAATAAAGCTGCATGGCATCAGCATACTGATAACAGGACACTCCAAACTGGATGATCGCACACAACCTTTTCATGTGAATTTTGTGTGAGACAAAACCCCTGTGAACACCCCATATCAGAGAATCCTTAGTGCCAGCAGAACTCCCCAAGCAACACCTTCTCCAAGTAACCGTCCGTGTAGAAGCAAAAGTGCTGGAATGCAGGTTTTCCCCACCCTCAATTCAGACAGAAGGATGCTATGGCCAATAGTTTCAAAAGCCACCAAAGATCCAGGAGAATGAACAAACTCACGTTCTCTCTGTCTTTCTCCTAACTTAGGTCATTATATAGGACAACCAAGACTATGTCTTGCTAAATCTAATCTGAACCCTAACAGAAATGTATCCAAATACGTGGTCTTATTCAAGAAGGAGCTGGTGGTAACCATCCACTCAAGGACTTTGCCCAGCTCTGTGTGGCCATCTCCTTGTGCATATGGACCATCCCCCTGCAAAATGAAATGAGCTCCCCACTGCCAACCTTGTGGTGTAGTACACTATATAATATTTCTGGAAGAAAACTCTCCAGAGAAAAATTAAAGAGAGCATAAGAGAAGTACATCCTCAGAAGGTGGAACTTTCTAGCTTCCCAGACCTCAGAATTCAGTTACATGGTTCAGAAAGTAGGGCAGAGCAATTACCTTCCTTTGCTACCTCTGAGACTGGGAATTCTTTAAAAGGTCAGCAAATTTTCCTTTTCATTGAAGGTGCCGAAAGAGGGAATCATCACAACTCTGATTTGCAAAAATGGAATGTGAATGGTGGATATCTTGGGGGAATGGCAATAAGAAGCCATCTTGGTATTTGTGTACAGCTGAACTCACCTTCCCCAACAACAGTACTGTTCTAATTTGTTTAATGTGTTGTGTGAACCCATAATAAGGGTCTTTGTGGGTTCAAATAAACAAATAAATATTGTTTGTACATAATTTTAATACTACATTTTCAGATAAGGTTACATTTTTACATAATGCAAATTTTCTAACTTTTTCTATAATAATTTTGTGCATTAATGATTCAAAGCCATTAAAAGAAAAAAGAATAAAAATAACAAGAATAAAAAAAAACAAGCTAGATTAGAATGTATTAATTATACTTACACTTCAACAGAGGCTGCCCAAGTATCCATGTATGTAGCCTTTTGAAAGTGGTATTTATATGCCATCTGTTCAAATGTTTAAAGTGTTATGTCGTCAGTCCATTGCATTACAAGAGGTGAGAATTTATCTTTCCAATGTTGTAATATT